CATATTTTTGTTCAAATGTTTAATAATAATACTAATAATAAGGTGTATATTTCACGGAGTCCGTGAGACATGCACAAGGCATGATCAAGTGATCAGAGAGAGTATATGTAAAATAACAGTGTAATTACATAGGTAGAAATGAAAGTAGTGGGGATTAGAACGAAAACACAGTGTGAAAGAAACGCAAACCGGACAAGGTCACCGACGAATTTATGGAAGATGGAGGATGCATTGAAAACGTATGTCACTAGAACTGGAAGTATGGTAAAACTGGTCTCGGAAGGATTGGACGTACGACAACAGTGCGAGGAAATACGGAGAGGCGGTCTGTGGAACAAATGCTGCCTGATGGTGGAGGCATGATGGCAGGAATAGAAGGGAAGGAATACAGCCAGAATAATACGTCAGTAAGGGAACATGTTAGACTCTATGCTGCAATACAACTCGCTTCTGGAGACAAGCTCATTGGGTTCAGGGTTTCAATCGATCAAGCAGTGATTTGGATTATTTAGATTAATTTGGCGTTGGTCGCTTTGATGTGGGACTGACTGCACGCTAGACACCTAACCTTAAAACACCTTGTAGGTGAGGCAGGGGGTGTGATCCTCAACCTGGTCCGGAACGCGGACGCATGCAGTCAAAACGGTGGAAACAGCCGTGCCCAACAACCATTGCCGGAGCCAAATTGTCCATTGTGGGTGAGGACCCCAAGCTTTCGGCAGGCCCAAGAGAACCGATTCTGGAACAAAGAGGCGATATGCAGCAGTCTGGGGTAGTACCCAGCTGAAGGGGGAAGCGAGACGGGGAAACTGAGCATGCGACGGAACAATACTAAAATGATTGCACACATAACACGTTGTACTAAAATGATAGGGTACTGGAGTGAATATAGACCTCAGACCATAACCAGGAGGTGCAGTGCAGTAAGACGAGAAAATGCTTATGAGAGTGCTCACCAGAGTTTCGAATTCCACCGATCCAGCTTTGAAACTGAATCCATGAACTCTTGAGAATTGGTTGCGTAACTGGACACAGCTATCTCGTTATCTTATACCACGGAGGAGGGCCGAGTGAATTGAGGGAGAATGATTCCGGGAATATCCCGCTTATAAGATATTAGGTAACAAACCTTGTACGAAGGACATTTTGGTCCAAGTAGCACCGACACCATTTGAGCGGAAATGCTCAAACGGGGTTCCTAAACCTTAAATAAAATAAGAATATTGATTATGATTTGGCTGTGAAGCACCAAAATAAGTTGGTCGGGCACAAGATGTGTACAAAGCAACTGTGAAAATAGAAAGGAAAGAGAGAACCTGGCTGAAGTTTAGAGACTTTCAGCAGGCAAGATACCAGAAGGAAGAGGATTAGGTAGGAGAGGCTGGATAGTTCAAGTGAAGAAACCAAGGTATACGGAGGACCCTTTATTCCAAGTAGCACCGACACCATTTGAGCGGAAATACCTAAGTGGTTTAGTTATCTTTGCCTTAGGAGAAAAATTCAATAAAGTGATTTTAATTTTCCTGTGCGACGTCGAGGCAGAGTTCGACAAGGAAAAGTTATTTTTTAAAGGAAGAGTAAAATATAGGAGTAAGAAAGTGGCTGATTGAAGCTGGGAATACTTTCGGTGGTTTGGATTTTAAGAGGAAGAAGATCGTGAGATTACGGGGAAGTGGTCTATGCGTGACCCTATGATATATTGCAAAATCACTCTTTTGAGGTCATAGCACGGCTGCATAAAAAATGAAAAAGCAACAATAATTTTTGCCATTTCAGAATTGCAGCCCCAATGCAAAAGCGTCTTTTTCAGTCAGAATTGAGTTGGTGGGCTCGATCATGGTTTGGACCGTGAGGAATTTATTTATTGCTGCTTTGAAAAGGTGTATGGATGTAGATGATCGGGTCTCACTCGGAAGTTTGTTCCATAGCTTGGAGTACACAGAGATAAAGAAGTTGTTCCTAATGGACGCCCTGGAGAACAAGAGGGGTAAAGTGAAATTTCGATTACGAAGTGGGTAGCCACATTCTTTTCTGAAATCCAACTGGTAGTC